TACTTTTTTTGCCTAACCTCAACACCATACATGTTCTGTCGTGTAGTCTGCTCCTTTGCTCGACATAGTCATGCCATGGTGTTGGGCTTCCTTGTTTATATGGATGACTGGCTTGTTTTTGCTCATTCTGATTGGGAATTGGCTTGTCAGCTCCTGGCCAAAGCTGTGCGGGTGGACTGATTGGTCAAATTGTAGAAGTCTTTCCTTTGTCCTACCCAATACCTTATCCATTTGGGTGTTTTCTTCAACACCCATCTCAGTTGGGTCCAACCTTCTCCTCTCCTGCTCCATTATATGGAACAGGCTGTTCGGAAAGCCCAGTCTGTTCCGTCACTTACAGCTCTCAAGGTTCTATTGCTTTTGAGGTATGGTCCTCCATGACTGCTTTCATATCCCTGGACAGGGCCCATATGTGGTTTCTTCAATGGGACCTTCATGATCAATGGAGCTTTGCCCAGGATCCCTTGGATACTTCTATATCCCTAGTAGATGATCTCCTATGGTGGTTGAACGGGGCCCACATATCAGCAGGGGTCCCACTTCCACCTCCATGGCCAGATTTACATTTGTTCATAAATGCATCCCATCAGGGCTGGGGTGCCTGGGTGGATCACCAGGAGGTTTCGAGTCATTGGTTTGAGGAGGAGAGTTCTCTTCACATCAGTGTACTCAAATTTCTGGGATTTGGATAAATTTTTTTCTCTTGCCAGCCCCCAGCTGGTTATGATACATTCTGACAATTCTACCATGGTGGCTTATATAAGTCAACAAGGTGGCACCAGGTCCAGCCAGATCCCAATGTTTTCACACTATGGATCTTATTTATTGGACCCACACACATCACATTCGTTTGATGGCATGTCATGTACCGGGTGCTTTCAAGCTCGTAGCTGACTACCTTTCCTGACCAGATTTAGTTTATTCCATGAAGTAGTCCCTGCATTCTACCATTTTTTGGTGGCTCTGTCTGCATCTGGGCATGCCACATATCGAAGCCTTTGCCACCACTCTCTATCACATATGACCTCAGTTTGGTCCCTTGTTCCTCATCCTCAAGCCTTGGCTATTAATGCCTTCATCCAGGATTGGTCTCATCTGTTGCTTTATGTTTACTCTCTCATCTATTTACTTCACCAGATGGTTTCCCTCCTCCATGCATGGTCCTTCTGATTGCTCCTTTCTGGCCTGCTCAACATTGGTTTCCTTGGTTGTTCCAACTACAGGCGGTCCTTCCTCTTCCCTTCCTTCCTGATCTGCTCTGTCAACTCCACTCATCAGTGCTCCACCCCATGCCGTCCATCCTCCATCTTCATACCTGGCTTTTGTCAGGTCTTTGGCAAGGAGTTCCAGTTTTTCTTGCAGAGTAGCTTCACATTTAGCCCATTCCATTTGCACTTCTTCTTTGGCTGTCTATCAATACAAATGGAGTACTTATCCCTCCAAACTTCTCACTCAGTGGTTGCCTGTATCTCTGAGTTTCATTTACGAAAATTATAACTTTTAATTAATGGGCATTATTTACATCCTAGCAGAAATTATGCCTATCATAGCAAGGCTTTCCAGACAGACAAGTTGAGTGTGTTATTAGCTTTACCCAACAAAGGAGCAACTGGGGAGTGTGAAGGATGATACTACAGAGTTATTGGTTTACATTCACAGCGAGATAACAATCTCCAAACAGAGTACAGATGAGCTTATCAAAATTAATGATAAAGTACACAGTTTGATTTCAAACACCAGAAAGTATTTTAATTTTGTAGAACAGCGTGGAATGTTAACTGCTTTGTCAGTATTTGATGTTATAGAGGTACATGAAATTAATGGTCCAGCCTTTAACCCTTTCCAGATGGGCCACGGATGAAAGGCCATGTCATTGCGTTTGTTGACTCACATTCAAAGTTTTATTTAACTACTATTTCATGAATTTATGTCAATAAGTGTGGTATCAAACTGTAGATTATATTTCAAATATTAGTATTATACCTTATTCAATATCTTAATTTAAAAGTAAGTATTAGAAAAACAAAGTTAAGCATTGATTTTTGTGTCGCACATGGGATGTTGAATGCAACATTGGTTCAAATTTGATATTTGTGATGTCAAAATACTAAGTCTATAGTTTTTTACGAATTAGGAACACAAATTAACGATATTGGCAAGCAGTAATATAAAATAAGAACCTAATATCTATTCAGTTTACAGAGATATCACTCATATAATGAGTCAAACACGGTGACCCTGCCTCACCTCTTTCCATTTTTGGAAATGGTCCTTTATATACACTTACTTCAATATATGACATGTGAATAACCAATCAAAAGCTCAGAATGTCCCCTAGTGGCTTTCTCAGCCCTTTACATGTGTTAGGATGCCATCACATTCTTTCGAACCAAGATTTCAAGGAGGTAAGTTGTGTCTTTAGTTTGCTCAAAAATTCATATTTTTTAGACCCAAATACAGCTTAGTTACTACACTTGATACATTATAGTGGAATTCTATGGTATCAA